CCTGCATTTGAGAGCTGAGCTATTGCCAAAAGCTCTATCTTGTATACGTTTTGACCTCTAAGTAGGTGGCAATGTTGACCAACACTTTTTTAATAGAGGGGTTGCAACTCACTCACTTGTTACTGAGCTATAGGTAGGGGTTGGTGGGCATCAGAGTTTGGTGCTTCGGTGCTGGTGCAGAATTGGCACTCCTTGTAGGAGAAGGGAGAAGCTGGTGAGACTGGCAGCTTCCTTTCAGACTTCACAATTAACATGTATTTCTTGGAAACACAAGAGGCTTGTAAATTAGTGTTACATTTTTAAAGCAGCCAGTCCCTAAATGTTCTTGAAATAGCTTTTGAGAAGAATAAGGATTGATAATTGTAGCATTTTGTTACTATTAGCCCTGTCTGTTAACATGAGCAGGTACAATTTCATGAAGGTATTCAAGCAAAGCAACTGTACCTTTTTCTAGTCAGACATAAGGCATGTGCTGTAAAAATCCATTAAGAGTGAGCAGGAGCTATAAAACTTTTTTTCTCTTATCTTTAGGTACATACATTTTGAATATTCTAAGTAAAGGCGAAAAAGGGGACAACACTAACAAGTTGATAGTTTCTTTTTTTAAAAACCTGAATGTTTTAATGGGCAGAGAAGCATAGTTTGCTACGTATACAGCAACTGAGCATACACTAGTATGTTTGGGTGTTTTTTTTTCAGTTCAGGCAAATACTAAGTAAAAAAACTTCACTGACATTATGCACTTGTGTTCTGTTGCCAACTCCATTACTATTTTTCACATGCTTCACACTTTCATAGTTTCATCTGCTGGTGCACCTGTCTGACTGTTTTGATTTAACAGTTGGGGGGGTGTCGCTGCAGTAAAGCTTTAGACATATGAGATGAAAATTGATATCACCTATTTTATAGCAAATACTCCATGGTGCGTGTATTTAACCATGACAAGTTTTTGAGTTAATGAGGATGTATGTCGTCTTGATTCCCAGACTTGATCAGCTTGCTTATTGAAAAAGAAACAGTAGTTCTTTATATAAATGAAAATGAGAAGTATCAGTTCAGGTACTGCATTTAATCTGTACTTCTGCAGCAGCAGTACTTTAGATTGGTCTTGTGTTCTTTGTGTCCGATTGTTGTTGTACACAATAAAGTATCTTAAATAACTTGTACTTAAGAAATCTTATAGAATGTCTTTTAATGGGGGTGGGAAGGTGTGTGTTTCTCTAGCTATTGTCACATAGCAATTAGTTCTACTAGGTCAGTTTAATATCCTGTTTAGATTTCTGCCTTTCAGAATGTCTTTGATTCTATATAGTATTTTAGTTTTTAATATGTATATGTTCTTACAAGATACTTTGTATATGTTGATATAGAGTATTTTTTAAAAAACTGTTTCTCTGGAAAAAAGAACTGTACCTTTAGAAGTGCTTCTTTGTGCTTTTTGTGAGGTGCCATTTTGCATGCTGGTGGGAAGGGTTCTAGGTTATGCGTGTGGCAGTGTTCTGAACAGCTGTACTCGAAAGCTTTCTCTGTCATCTTCAGTGACTGTAGTGTTAAGCAAAATAATCCTTGGCTTAGTATCTTTTTATGTTTTGGGTTTTTTCCCTCTTCTGTGTAATGAAGTAGTAATACTAAGTTTATAATAATGTTCTTGGACTTTCCTTCTTCTCTTTAGATCTGAACCACAGTGGTCTAGGATCCCATTATGAAAATTCTCACTGGGGACCAGTCTCTTCAAATAGTGACTCCAGCACAAACTGGGATAAAGTTATTGTAGACGGCTCTGACAAAGAAGCATGGCCATCAATCACTGGCAGTGACCCAGAGCTGACATCAGAATGTATGGACACTGACTCTGCCTCTAGCTCTGGGTCAGAGAGAAACCTCGTTATAATGGCTTCAGGGAGCACAGGTGGTGAAAATGATGGCATTCGAAATGGCATTGGACATGGTTCTCAAAATAAGTTTGTGGTTGGTAGCAACAGCAATAATGTGGGCAATGGAAGTATTAATGGGCCGTGGGGTTTATCCCATGGAACCATAATAAGCACATGTCAAGTTTCTGTGGATGCTCCTGACAGCAAATCTGAAAGTAGCAACAATAGAATGAATGCTTGGGGCACCATAAACTCTTCATCAAATGGAGGGTTAAATCCAAGCACTTTGAATTCAAATGGCAACCATGGTGCCTGGCCTGTATTGGAGAACAATGGACATGCCCTGAAAGGGTCTGTAGGGAGTGGTAATCCTGGCACAAATATTCAGTGCAGTACCATAGGTCAGATATCTAATAGTCAGAGTATTAACTCTAAAGTGGGTGGTTCAGCCCACGGTTCCTGGGGAAGCGTTCAGGAAAATTGTGATTCTGAAGTAAATGGTACAAGGAAGGTTTCATTCAGTGGGCAACCTCAAAACCTTAACACTGAAATGAATGGACCAAATAACACTACTAACTTTATGACCTCTAGTTTACCAAACTCTGCTGGTTCAGTGCAGATTAATGAACTGCCTAATAATACAGGGCATGGGGCCTGGCGTGTGAGCACAATGAATCATTCTCAGATTCAGGCCTCTCCAGTTACAAATGGCACTTCCATTTCTCATCTTAGCAACGGTGAGACGAAAAATGGTGGATCTTACGGTACTACGTGGGGTGCCTATGGTTCTAATTACTCTGGAGACAAATGTTCAGGCCCAAACAGCCAAGCTAATGGTGACACTGTGAATGCAACTCTAATGCAGCCAGGCATTAGCGGGCCTGGCAGCACTAACTTTCAAATCAACGGGAATAAAGGAGGAGGGGTATGGGAAGCAGGGACAGTCAACTCCCAGAATATGCCATGGGGAAGTGGAAATGGTGCAAGTGCTGGCGGGAGTAGAAGAGGATGGGGCAACCCTGCACAAAAAACCGGCACTAACATTTCAAATGGGGAATGGAGTAAACTGCCTAGTAATCAGCATTCCAATGAAAGTGTGAATGGAAACAGCAGGAAGTTTACAAATGGATGGAAATCTACTGAGGAAGATGACCTTAACAGCCAGAGTTCTGCTGCTTCTCAGATAACTGAGCAGAACAGCGCATGGGCCAAAACAGGTACGGTGGACAGTGAAGGTAGTTCGGAGAGCACTGGATGCCATGAAGACAGAGTAACTACAGAAGGACAGAATCGAGAGAGAAGGAAAGTTGACCAGCATGCGTTACTCCAAAGTATAGTGAACAGAACTGACTTAGATCCACGTGTCCTTTCCAACTCTGGTTGGGGACAGACTCCAATCAAACAGAACACTGCCTGGGATACCGAAACATCACCAAGGGGTGAAAGAAAAACTGACAATGGGACAGAGGCCTGGGGAGGCTCTGTGACACAGACTTCCAGCTCAGGGGGGTGTGTGGATAGACCTAGCCCTAATAATAATGATACCTCATCTGTATCAGGGTGGGGAGATCCAAAGTCTGCTACAAGGTGGGGAGACTCCAAAGGGTCAAACAGCCAAGGGGGGTGGGAAGAAGATTCTGCTGCTACAGTAATGGTCAAGAGCAATCAATCATGGGGAAGTGGCAAAGAGGAAAAGTCTTCTTGGAATGACGCACAGAAGATCAAACAGGGATGGGTAGATGGACAAAAGGCCAGCCAGGGTTGGGCAGTTTCTGCTGGTGACAGCTGGGGCGAAAATTCAAGAAGTAACCATTGGGGTGAGGCTAAGAAATCCAGTTCAGGAGGTAGTGACAGTGACAGATCAGTATCTGGTTGGAATGAGCCAGGTAAATCAAATTCTGTTACTTGGGGAGGTAATAATACAAACCCAAATAATTCTTCAGGATGGGATGAGCCTGCAAAGTCTAATCAGAACCAGGGCTGGGGAGACCCTCCTAAATCCAATCAGCCTCAAGGCTGGGGGGATTCGTCAAAGCCAATCAACTCTCCAGAATGGAACAAACAAGATGTTGGCTCTTGGGGAGCACCGTCTGCCACAAACAAACCCCCAGGGTCAGGCTGGCTGGGTGGACCGATGCCGGCACCAGCAAAGGAAGAAGAACCCACTGGCTGGGAGGAGCCATCCCCTGAATCAATACGCCGTAAAATGGAAATTGATGATGGAACTTCTGCTTGGGGTGATCCAAGCAAATACAACTACAAAAATGTGAATATGTGGAATAAAAATGTCCCAAACAGTAGCAGCAGTTCCGACCAGCAAGCACAGGTACATCAGCAGCTACTGTCTTCAAGTGCCATGTCTAGCAAGGAGAGCAGTTCGGGTTCTGGTAAGACTTGGTTTTATGCAAATTTGTGTTTTCTGTTAATTGTAAAACAACTCTTTTGTTCTTGCTTCATTTAACAATATTTTAGTTTCAAAGTGGAAAGGGGAAGGTGCCAATGAAGTAGCGTTTTTATTTATAAAAAAAAAGTAACAGCAATGCTCATAGATGTTTGATACTTTTATACAGATTGGAAGATCTGTTCTAGTTTTAAATCGCTTGACTAATAAAGACTAGACAGCTCTACTTGAATTCTGGGGTGTGGGAACACAGAAAATATTTAAAATAGTATTTGAGGAATAAAAGTTTCTCTTCATTTGATTCTACAACAGTTAAAACTGTTGAGCTGCTACAGCGCAGGATGAAGGGTGATGGTTTTATATGGACTCAAGATCAGACTTTCTGATCTTGTAGTTTTCGGAGCAGTGAATAATGATACTTGCAGATGAGCTTGTGTGGTGTTTTTGAAGTATTTTGTGCTCTGTTTCTTTTTCAGCTGTGAAGAGGAGTAGCTTAAATATAATAAGCAGCTTTTAGGAACTTAATATCTTAGAAATTTCTATTATCAAAATGTCATTCTCTACATGTGATACTTGTATTTTTGTGATTTATTTTTTTTATTGAAACAGCTTACAGTTGTAATAATTGGCTTCATAGAAAATGTAAATGTGTGCTAATATGCTTTTTATTGTTTGTTATGGGTCTAGCAAAGGCAAAACACTTGATTCTCTTTAGATAGCTTTTTAAATCCTGTTTAAAAACATGCCAATAACTCGTACTGCTTTAAAAAGGTTGGGGAGAGCCTTCTACTCCAGCCACTACTGTAGATAATGGAACTTCAGCGTGGGGTAAACCCATGGATACTGGTACTAGCTGGGGAGAACCCATCAGCGATGCAGCAGGCACCTCTGGCTGGGGAAACGCTTCTCTTGGTCAACAGGCTTCAAATAAACCTGGTGAGTGCTTTCTGCGTCATCTTTGAATAAAGGTATTTGAGGAAGGTGAAATACTTCTCTAGAAGCTTTGTATTTTTGAGGGTTTTTTTTATCTTGAAGTAAACATAAAGCTAACTTCTGTGTTAAGGGCAGTCAGTTGCTACTGAAATGTTAACGTGCTGGGTGTTTTCCACAAGCAGGGCCTAAATCTATGCAAGATAGTTGGTGTGGAGATGATATGCCATTGACAGGCAGTCGTCAGACCAGCTGGGAGGAAGAAGAGGATGTAGAGATTGGAATGTGGAACAGCAGTTCTTCACAAGAAGCTAACCCATCTTTAAATTGGCCACCATATATGAAAAAAATGCCCACAAAGGTAATTCTGGTTTGCGAGATGTCAGGCCCAAACATAAGAATGCAAGTTGGCCATGGAAAAGAAAAAAAAAAAAAAAAAACCAAAACAAACCAAAACCCAAAAGAAGTAGTGAGGTTCCTGAGCACTACTACTTCCTTATTCTGTAAAATAATTCCCAGAGGAGGTTGAGTCAAGGTTTTTGCACTGTTGTCATTTCTAAAAGCTAAGTCAGAACAGATTGCTGTACTGAGTGGAGTACCATTAAGCTTTAATCTTCATAACATTTTATGATGTAATTTAAGCAGTAGGTGTTAAAAACATCTTCTGAGTATCACAGGAATTCCTTTCTATTTTTAAGGGAATAATGAAAGGTGGAAATAAGCAAGATGAAACATGGATCAATCCGTTCATTAAGCAATTCACAAATCTCAGTTTTTCAGTAAGTATTTACCTTTACCTGGCTTTACTGCCTTCTTAGAGTGCTAGTTATAACGCACAAAGATTAAAATGCTTAATTGCCTAGTGTTCACTTTCATAGTATTTTTCTTTTACTTCTGTTTGTCTGCTCTCTGTCACCCATCCCTTTTCTTTACATTCTCATTACAAAAAGACCTATTTATTGATGAAAAGTGTTTCTGTAAGCACTACATTCATCCAGTAGTCTGTTGCTTCACTTAATGTTACATACGTGTTTTGGTGAAGATACCTGTTTTCACTTGGGTAACAACTAAATGGAGTAAATGCTTTAACATAGCATCTGATTTGTCTTGATTTTTTTTTTTTCTTGCAGGTTTGAATTGAAATAGTATATGTGAATCTCTTTGTTTTAGCTTTTAAAAATATTATTAAATAATTATGATTCATTTTATTACTTCAGAGAGAATCACCAGAAGAAACCATACAGAGCAATAAGATGGACATGTCTGGAGGTAAGAATAGGAAAACCTAGCTGGTTTTATTGCTTTCCTTTCCAGTCTCTCTTTTAGTTTATATCCTTCTTTAAGTTACTTTTTAAAAACTATATATAATATATATAGTTATAGCTATATATAGTTAAATATATGTTTCCCTGAAGAAAAGGAATACCCTTGTAGAGAAAAAAATTTGTGCATGTGAGTAATGCTACACACCTGAATCACCTGGTTGCTATAGTAATATTATCCATAAATCAAGTTAAGCCTGTATATGACATGAAAGAATGTTTTCAGGGTGTGGTGGGTTTGTTTCTTGTAATATAAGTATCTGGATTGCCTTCTGGACACCTTCACTAAATATAAACAGAAATGTTCCGAATACCACACTCGCTCATTGTGGTTCATTCTTGGAAACACGTTTTCAGTTCTAAGAACTAAATACTGAACAATTACTTTAGAAACGTTTAAACCTGAGTGTAAAATGACTTGTGAGCAGTTTTATTTTTATTTGAATCCATTGACTGTTATGATTCCTCTAGCAAATCAAAAATAGTATAATTCTTTAATACATTAATAACTATATTATAACAATAAAATATTTAATTAAAAGTATTTGTAGCATTGTAGGTTTTATTATAGTTGCATTCTTTATGCTAGTATTTTCACTTTTGGGCTCACAGTCTATTGTGTAAAGAAATTGTTCTTTGAATTTTAGATTTTAATATTAATGGCAAGCCTCATATTTAAATGACTTCAATTTTTTAAATTTGAATTTAAAACATCTGCTTGGAAAGTAATTCTCTTGCACTGCATGCAGTGAAGTATTAAATGGACTCCTTTACTACTACTTGTATTTTGATCTTCTAGCTTGCCTAGTGGAATTAATGATAAAAGATAACTTAAAATTTGCTTTTAATAAACACAAATACTTCAAATTTGTGAGGTTTTTTTTTTTTTAGCCAAATAGTTTTTTTCTTAACTGAATCTAATTAAAGGGCCTCTGAAACAATACACAAATGTAGGGGATGTGATAAAGGTACTACTTCAAAGCCACGACAATGCGTATTGCTACTAAAAAAAAAAAAAAAGCGGCATTCGCAACTGGAAACTCAAGTTTAAAGAATTATACTTTCTTGGTTTTAAGAGAGAACTGAGAAGAATGTTTTTGTGAAGCCTAGCAAAATCTGTTGACGCTTTGTAGATTCCAAGTTTTAAGTTGTCTGTAGCCGCTGATTCATAGTGTTTCCTTTCCCTTTTCAGTAAAGCCCAGAGAGCTAAACTGGTGTTTTCTTTTATTAGTGTCTAGCTTGAGAGCAGTATTAGTTCAGCTCTTCATAAGCATAAACTGGTTTCTAGTGTATCTGGAAAACTGAATAATCCCTCAATGTTGTAGTCACATCTCTCACCTTTTCTTAGGGTTACTGCAAGATAAGCGGATGGAGATGGATAAGCATGGCCTCAACGTTGGAGATTACAATCGTGTGGTTGGAAAAGGCCCTGGTTCTCGTCCTCAGATTTCCAAAGAGTCTTCCATGGATCGCGGTCCTTACTTTGATAAGGTTAGTAGGTGTCTTACTGGTGGCACTTCTAAACTTCTTTGACTCTGCATTCTAAGTAGTTATCTGTGTGCTCCTTAGCTTTCTGCATTTAGTGGAGAAGAAAATGAGGGCTTTCTTGTTAATCCATGAGATACGTTTTGCTCTTTTTAACTTACTGATGTATAATACTAAGCACTTTCTGTAGCCCATTTGCAGTGCAAATGACTAACCTGATCTCTTTTGTTTTCTGCCTATTTCCTGCTGGTGCTGGACTGTCATGTGACTCTTCCCTTCTGTTCCTGGCAATGGTTTCTCCCTTCTGCTTGCTTGCTGGCTGGTTGTTGCGCATCGGTTTGTCTGTCCGATCAGGATGGCATTGTAGCAGACGAGTCCCAAAACATGCAGTTTATGTCCAATCAAAACATGAAGCTTCCCCCTTCAAATAATGCACTACCTAACCAAGCCCTTGGCTCCCTAGCAGGGCTGGGTATGCAAAACTTGAATTCTGTTAGACAGGTAAGGCTGTGTGCATATCCTTGGCATGTTACTTGACAGCATTTAATACCTTTTGATATAATATCCTAGCTACCTATATGATTGATATGTGTTTAACTTCTAATTCAAATGTATAGGGGTGGGAGAAGCAGCAGAAGAGGTTTATTGTCACTAACTATTGTCATTAACTGTCTGCCTTTCCCCAGAATGGCAATCCCAGTATGTTTGGTGTTGGTAATATAGCAGCACAGCCCAGGAGCATGCAGCAGCCTCCAGCACAACCTCTTAATTCATCTCAGCCTAATCCACGTGCTCAAGTGCCTCCTCCATTACTATCCCCTCAGGTAATTGAGTACATAAAACATTCTGTGTATAAACTACCAAAATGCTGCTTCAGAAAATCGTTTTTTTGTTTATTGGTGTTGCTGATATTTATTCTGTAAATATTTGAAAACATACTTGGCTTGATGAATGTTTCAGAAACTAGGCAACTGTTGACCAGAGGTTATAATATTCTACATCTCATATAACTAACTGTACGTTACTGCCAGTCACTCTTCATACTGGTCCATTTTGCAGGTTCCAGTATCATTACTGAAGTATGCACCAAACAACGGTGGCCTGAGCCCACTTTTTGGCCCACAACAGGTAGCCATGTTGAATCAACTGTCCCAGTTAAACCAGCTTTCTCAGATCTCCCAGTTACAGGTAAGCTAACAAAGCTAGTCGCTCTGTGTTCTGTTTGAAAGTCTAAGTAGAGACTTAACGTCAGCTATAAACTGTTCTTAAAAAAAACACCACAAAACACTGTCTCCTAGCGGTTGTTGGCTCAGCAGCAAAAAGCGCAGAATCAAAGAAGCATGCCTTCTGGTGGTCGTCAACAGCAGGAGCAGCAGGTAAATAAATACGTTTATTATTAACTTTTCAAACTATCTTTAAAAACTGTTTTTCGTCCTGATCTGCCTTTCTTGTTATAAATTGTATTAAAGTGTGCAAGAGTGAATGGGTTTTTGACAAGCCTTAAAGGAGTGACTTAGCTTAATGCTGGGGTTTTGCTGTGCTAAGATGCACGGAGCACAAAGATGCGTTTCATTATCTTTTTTTAAATGTGGAAAAGCTTTTGCCTATTTATATTGTAACTGCTCTGTTTTTTTAAGGGTCGATCTCTTAGTATGCAGCAACAGATGATGCAACAGTCCCGTCAGCTTGATCCAAACCTGTTAATGAAGCAGCAAACTCCGCCCTCCCAACAGCAGTCACTCCATCAACCCACCATGAAATCTTTCCTTGAGAATGTCATACCCCACGCTACTCCTGAGCTACAAAAAGGGCCATCGCCAATAAATGCATTCAGCAGCTTCCCTATAGGTGGGTTTCTCCATGCTAATTTCATACAGTCAATTAATGCTTACGTGACACACAGCCTTTCTTTTCACGTTGTCTGCCTCCTCTGAAAACAATAGTGATTGTAATCGTGTTAGCACTTAGGATTTTAATGAAAGTAGTAATTCTTTGTGGGCCTTACCCAGTTATCTTTGTTTGCCAAAGAACTTTTTCCACAAGTGCACTCATTCCCAGAAGTGACTATTTCAGTGCAAAATGCTCTGCATTCTTAAAGAATGTCTTCCCCTTTATTTCTTTTTTATCCTCTGGGTCCCAAGGATGATACAAAGTCCTTCTGCAGTTATGATTCCTGGAGCTAAAGGACTTTTAGAAGTAGAATCCATTGATGTGGTCTCATTTCTTTGGATTTTAAAAATGTTTTCAATGAATCTGGAACTGCATAGGTAGAACAAAATGTTAATTTCCCTTTTAGTGGTTTTGTCCAGGAAAGAAAGCTTTTAGCTCTGCATTTTTAAAGAATGCATTTTTAAAGAATTTCAGGCAAAATGTCTGAACATTTTATAAATACAAACATCTCCTGTTTCTTTCTCCTTACATTTCCAGGCTTCTGTCCAATTTCTACTTCAGAAATTCCAGGCTTGTATATTTTCTCCTTACTTTAGGTCCCTTTTTAATGCTATCTTACACTTACTACAACTGTATACCATTTACCTCTTGTTCTTTATCCCTATTTTTTTCCTCCTCTTCAGTTTGCTTTTCTTCTACGTTATTCTAATCTGGTCATTTCTGTTGGGCTGATTTCCTTTGCATTCTCATTGCCCTTTGTAGGAAAGTTTGTTTAATAGACTGCTGCTGAAATCCTTGTGCTTCTAGGTGGAGTGTTATGGAGCCAGTGGGTCGGTGCAGGCCATGCTGTCGCACTGCATGTGGCACACTGGAATTTTGCTTGTGGCCAGTCTTAAGTCCAGGCTGCTGCTTAATAGTTGCTGCTGATGATTGGCATCAAGATCTAACTACTGCTTCGATTCAAAGGGCAAGGCATAAAAATGAAGTTTGTTTAGCTATTAGAGACACTATGTTAGGTCTAATGAAAGGAATATTTAACTTTCTCGCCAAACTTAATCCAGAATAATTGTATCCTGCCTACGTTAGGTTCCTTTCTGTTTCATTTCTTGAGTTGAATTGTTGTATACTGTTGTTAAGTAGCTGCTTTTTATGCAGGTTCCACATTTCAGGAACCTGCAGTATATGTAAGATTGCTTTGAGATCCCTCAGGAATCTGCTGCAGTATACATAAGAATTCTTTGGGATCCCTTTGGAGTAGTACTGTATAGTGATATAAGCAAGTTGAGCCACACTCAGTCCACAAATAAAAGCTTAAGGGTAGAAATAGTAGGTTGCTGGAGTTTCTTCACCCTATAGTGAAAAATTGAGTCGAGGAGTATTGGTAGCATCCTCCAAGTGCACAAAGTATATAGTAGCATAGTCATGTGAGAAGCAGCTGAACTTGCCAAGTTGTCTTCTGGAAAATCTTGCAGGTATGTTATTTTCTCCATGTTCTAACGTTAGTGTCAGGAGACCTAGCAACGAAAGCAGGGAGGTCCTGTTTGCATTCTGGGGAACTGAATTTGTCGAGATTCACTAGGTATTTGTTCATCAAAAGCAGAGATTGGGGATGGGTGGGGGGTGTCCTTCTCTAGTGGATCAGTGCTGCAGTCACATCCTGATTCATTTATAGAATTAAGTATTTCTAATATTAAAAATACCTTTTTCTGCCAAATAGTGAGTATAGCTGAACAATATAAAATCTTCCACAGTTGGATATGAAAAAGTACTTCTGGGAAGACTGTTTAAATTCTAGATTATGTCTAGGGACTGATGTTCATCCCTCAGTCCGCAGGTTTCAAATACAGAGCTATAGACATGGATCTGTGCCTGCCAAGGGGCTGGCATTAACCTTTTCAGCTAGATGTGCCTATTTGCCAGCTTGTGATCTTTCTAACCCTTCTTTTAGAGGTCTGTCTTCTGCAAGCTTCTTCAGAGTTAGAAGAAAGGTTATTGTTGTGCACGGGTTATTGCTCTGACAACAGCAAAATGCCGGAGGGAGAGGTGTCAGAAACTGGATTGATTGGAGTTTTGCTTTTTTCTGTTTCAGCTATTGATAGTTGTTATATTTCTTAAAACTCGGCTGTCCTGTTACAAGGCACTTTCTCTGAGGCTTTTCAAGGGGCTACGTTTCTGACATCAACATCTGATCATGCCTTTAAGGAAAAACAAATGAAAAAAAAACAAACAAATGAAAAAACAAACCAGCTTCAATATGGCAGTGAATATCGACTCAGGAACAAAATTAAGCACTAGTTTCCAGTGCTGAATGAAGGTGTTTCTACTAGAAATTTGAGAAGTTCCATGTGTGTCTCTGGCCCTAAGTTAAAATGTTGTGTAGTGGTTTATTTTCAGAAATGAAGTAAATAGATCTGAAGGGCTGGAAATGTAACCAGGTATGGTTGTGAATTAAGGATTCCTACAGACCTGGAAAGAGAGCAGGCATGCCAAAGTCAAAAGCGTGGGCATATTGTTCAAGCCCGGAGTAGCTGGTTCTCACAGGTATTTGGATTGATTTGGGTTGGCATTGTGTTGATTCTCTGGCAGACAAACATTTTGAAATACAGACAACAGCTTAGAACAGGCGAAGACAAGTTTTGTTTGTTTTCTCTTACTGAGGTTTTAATACAGTGCGAGCAAGGGAGTAGTATTACTTGTGCAGTTCTGTGCAAAGTGCTTATCTATCTGTGCTGGCATGGTTCAGAAGCTGGTGAGGTGTCCTGTTGAACATCCCAAATAAGAAAGGGAATGAGGTTGTAACTGCAGATACCAGTACGTAACTTCTGCTGAATAGGGATGAGTACAGACACACCCTCCTGCTGAGAAGAGTGTCTTTTATAACTGAGCGTAGCTCTTCAAAGTACAGTGCTTCTACTTTGTACAGATGAGATCAGTTGTTGTGCTGGTGCTAGACCGGTGTTAGAAATGCCACGTTTTTTAGACGTCTACATTTTAGTTTCTCTAACTTCCTCAATGGCTTCTTCCACTGACATTTTTGCATGAAGACATCAGCTGAGAACTTCAGAGTGCTTTGCATTGCTTAGCTTAGCTTCTGTCTGTAATAAGTTCACTGTATTAAATGCTAGAATGTTTCTCAAAAGCAGAGACTTGGAAGCATGAAATAACCATAGTAATATGCTCTTAAATGTTTATTAGGACAATAGTGGTAATTAGCAGAAGAAAAACATTTAGTCTGTATTTCATAAGCTATATATGTTTTTAGGAATGAACTCAAACTTGAATGTAAACATGGATATGAGCAGTATTAAAGAGCCACAATCTCGATTGAGGAAATGGACTACAGTAGACAGCATTTCTGTGAACACATCGTTAGATCAAAACTCCAGCAAACATGGTATGTTAAATGTGTCATTAAGGAGTATTTGATATTACACATCAGATTTTCACATTCTGTGTATAAAATGCAGGTTTGCGATATTTAGGCCTGTAGTTGTAACTAGTTGTTTGTGTTGCTTGTAGCTGTCAGAGTTTGTATTGTGTTGTCTGTGCCAAACTTGCTGCTTGTCTTGTACAGCAGCCCATAGCTTGCTTGAATGTTTTTACTTACAGAAGTAATCTTGTGATGAGGTTTAGTAGAAATGTTGTGCAGAATTCCTTTTTTAACCAGACTTTTCTTTAAGTGTGACTACTGCTACTAGTTTTACCTTAATCTGAATTGGAATGTTTCATATATGTTTAAACCAAAAGCTTTAGATTTTCTAGCTTTCTTTCCTCCCACCCTGCTGGCCTTAAGGTGATTTATGGGGATTTAATTGTGTGTGCACGCGTTCTGGTCATGTCTGACATTTTTAGTTGCAGGTTTTGGTTATGAATGTGTATGTTTGCATTCTAAAAATGGGGAGAGCTTAGAAGGGATAGACTAGCACCATTGCTGTACTTAGTTTTAGAGGAGGCGGACTTGGTTGCTTCATATTTCATTCCAGTAATCAGGATTCATATGACACTTCAACTGTTTCAGTTGCTTGAAATCTCATCCAGTTAAAATTTGAGTCTATAGCACAAAGGTTCTGTGTCTAAAGATAGTTATTAAATGTCTCCAGTCTCCTATTACTGTTCAGTCTTCAGATTGTTTGGGTATTTTTAGGTTTGTCAGCTGTTTCACTACTATGAAATGACTTGCTGCTTTAAGCATCTAGTGGAGATAACCTGCTACTGCACTTCTGAACTTCATCTGATTGTTACAGATGAACAGCAGTCAGAAGCGTTGGTGTTACTTTAGCTGTAGGTAATGTTTTCTGAATAGGATTAGGAATTTGATTACTTGAACTCCATATTGCATTGACTCACTAGTAAAAGTCAGTTATTCCCTCTGTAGATGCTTTGCTGTGTGTAATAACTTTTAAACTTCTCCTTACAGGACTTGCACAGAACCAAATAGATTGTGTGCAGGGCTTTTGTTCCTTGCTCTGCCTCCAGTGATTTTTATTTATTTTTTTCCCCTCCCAGGAATATGAGTAGAATTTACAGAGCTTTGCAGTAGCTAAAGATCCTTCAGATTTTGTAGATCTTTCTTCCAAAAGCCCTCCCATCACGGAATATATTCACTACCCCTGTTAT